TTATATAAAATATATATATATATATATATATATATATATATATATATATATATATATAATACTGGTGTGGAATGACATGAGTACATAATAAAATAATTTAAATTTTTGGGTGAAGTATTATTTTCCCGAGGGATGTAATGAACAGTTATGAGTTTGATCATAGTTGTGCTGTGTTTCGTCACATATGACATTGACTTCTTGTTTCTTTCTCTCTCTGTGTGTGTATTTGCTCCAGTGTGACAGAAACATAGAGCACGTACAGCAGCAGCTCGAGGACTATAAACATCCTCCTCTGTCTCTCAGCAGACTGTCACTCAAACAGCACAAGTTCAGGAGCTTCAGAGAGTCTGCGATGGTGAGTCTGTTTGACGACTACTGCTGAGACGGACTCTGATCTGAGACACTCCTCATTCCCACACATTTGTTGTTTGGTCATTTATATGTGTGATAGGAGCTTCACAGTGAGACTCTGGTGTTGCTGGGAGAGGTGGAGAACTGGTCTGAGCTGGATTGGCCCAGTCTCAGAGCCGTGCTGGACAAACTCCCTCCAATAAGGGAAAAAGTGCGAGACATGTCTCACTGTCTGTCAGACTGCTGGACACAGCTGGACAACACACAGCGACTGCTGTCTACACTTACTGAAGTAAAGCACAAACAAATATACACACAAGGCCACTGTATGATTGTATATCCCATGGGACAAGATATTTCTTTACTGTTTATATATAGTAGATATAATTTTACAGCCAGCAATAGACAGGACCACTTTACATTACGTGAGAGCAACTATGGAGTGATGCGAAAACAGAGCGGGATGTGTCTTAAACATAAGCAAGAACATAAGACAGAGTTTATTTGTTTACAGTTACCACATTAATGTAGATTTCAGTATTCATATGCTTTGAATGTGGTTTATCCAATCAGAATTTAGAGTCTGAACTCTCTGTTTTGAACATTAGTTTTTTTGAACATTAGTTTGGAGTTTCCCATTAAACTCAAGTGTTACGCGATAAAGCAGTTTTAGCACTGATACCAGACTTATACTACCATTCAAGTTTTGGGTCAGTAAGATTTTATTTTGGAAGAAAGACACTGAAGTAATGATGCTGAAAATTCAGCTTTGATCACAGGAATAAATTATATTTTACAATATATTCACATAGTTAATAGTTATATTAAATTGTGATAACATTTCACAATAATCCTGTTTTTACTGTATTTTTAATCTAATAAATGCAGCCTTAGTGAGGATAAGAGACTTATTTTAAAAAAAAGTAAAAATCTTACCAACCACAGACTCTTGAATGGTAGTGTATCATTAATTTATGAGTAATTAGGAAACAGGATGAACTATTAGTACGACATTTACATTCAGAGTACATACCCCTACATACACATACTTATGCCAATGATCATGGCTAACTCTCCATTCTTCGCTCTGCAGGCGTCTCAGTGGTGTGATGTGGTGTCATCCTCGTCTCCTTCCTCTTCCTCGTCCTCCCCTCTCTCCTCTCTCCCTCCCATCCCTCCATCACGTTTCCAGGATGCTCGCGCTCTTGCGCTGGATCTGGGCGGTGGGGCTTTGCTGGACCTCTGGTCCCAGACTCTGGAGCGCTATCAGAAAACTCTGGCTCAGTTTAAGAGCCGAATCCTGCAGGCGGAAAGAGGCTCCTCAATGGCCCAGGGTCAGGAGCCAGACTCCGGGGGACGAGGGAGGACCCCTGCCCCCAGCACGTCCAGCCTGGGGGATTTAGAGGGGGAGGTTGAGCCGGACTGGTGCCCTGGAGGTGGAGAGGTGGGCCTGCAGTCCTGGGGTTCACTGGCGTCTCTCTTTCGGCCACAAAACTGCTCAACACTCAAGATTGGTGAGGAAAAGAAGAAAGAGGGGGTGAATCCAGGAGGGGGGAAGTTTCTACAAAATCTGCTGCACCCAGCCAAGAAAAATGTAAGTGTGCATGTTTTAGAGTGAGGGAGTCACAGTTATGAGTTCAGCAACCAAAATTAACTTTTTGCTACTCCTGTTATCGGAAGATGAGCTGAGAAAAACAAAAAAACACTCTAAAATCAACCTAGTAAATGCAAAATAACTCCATCACAGCTATCTAGCAACTCCCTAGCAAACACCAACCACTTAACAACACCTTAGCAACCACATAGCAACACCTTAGAAACCACCCAAAACACCCTAACAACTGCATAGCAACTCCCTAGCAACCACCAAGAACCCACTGGAAACTGCTTTGGAACACCTTAGCATCTGCATAGCAATATCCTGGGAACCATCCAGAACATCCTAACAAGCAAATAGCAACAACCGAGCAACCACCCAGAACCCACTGACAACTGCATAGACACATTCCAGTAACTGTAAACCAATATCCTGGGACCTACCCATAACACCCTTGCAACTATCTAGAATACCGTAGCAGCTGCATAATAACTCTACGCAACACCTTGGGAACCTGCTCACAGCACTCTAGCAATGATTTAGCAACACCCTACCAACTATCTAGCAGTTCCTTAGGAACCACCAAGAACACACTAGAAACTGCTCAGCAACACCCTAGAAACTGCATATCAACACCATGAGAACCTCCCACAGCACCCTAGCCACAACCTAGCAACATCCTCACAAATGCATAGAAACACCCTAGCAACTATCTATTCCTTAACAACCACCAATAACGCATTACAATTGGCTCAGTAAACCCCTAGAAACCGCATACACCCTAACACCTGCTAGCCACACCTTGGGAACCATCTATAACACCTTGGAAACCGACAAAACCCCAAATAGAATCTTCATAACAATGCCCTAGCAACCAAATAGCAACAACCTAGCAAACACCCAGAACACTCTAAAAACAGTTAGCAACCACATAACAACAACCACATCTCAATGCCCTGGGATCCACCCAAAACGCCCTAGCAACCATCTAGAATACCCGATCAACCTTATAGTAACCCCCTAGGAATCAACTACCAACACCCTGGGAACTTCACACAGCACCATATCAACCCCCTTAGCAACCCCCAAGCAGACTCCGTATACCAACACTCTAGCAACTCCCTAGCATCCACTAAGAACACACCACAAACTGCTTAGCAACACCCTAACAATTTCACAGCAATGCCTTTGCAACCCCGTATATAACATCAGAACATATAGTAAGGACATGTAGATTTAAAGGTGCAGTGAGAAACGCTCTTGATATTTAAAATCACCAAAACAATCACATCCCTACCCAAAAGGATCAAACCCCAAATCTTGATAGCTCCACCCCAGAATTCACCAACATGCATCACAGGCACCTCCCCCATCATGATGGACACGTCCATTGCTGCTGATTGGCTGTAAGTGTGGTTTGGTGCTCAGTCTGATCCACTTTCACAGAAATTGTTTACCGCAACTTTAAACCATTTAATATGTTGCAATTCATCAAAACAAAGTTGCCAATCAGACAGCTAGTTTTTACATTTGTTGTTTGGCAAGTGTTAATTTGGTGTCCTGCGTGTGTTTCTTTGAGCTGAATAAGATTGTATGTTAAAATTAATACTTACCTGTAAAGCGTATGCAAACTCCATTTGATACGCAGGCAGTCAAATGTCTTAAGTTGCGGCTCTCTCATAACCCTCTCACTCAAGCGCTTGTCGATGCAGGCTCCGCTCTTTTTCATTTCGTTTTCTACTGTGAAACAACAGTATGGCACGTTTGACGAATAGAGTATGAAACAGGGCCTCAGTGCATTCTACAGTACCTGCTTTCTGTGCTAAGTTCTTTCCCCACATACCCAATAGTTTTACTGCAAAAGCATGAAATGTGTGCCTCTACTGCAAAAGTAATGAGAGTTCAGTTTATACCCCTGCAAAAAAAAGTTCACTTACTTTTAAAATGAGTACTTAATACAGATATAATATACTTTAAACTAATATACTGCTGTATGTATGAACTGAATGTAACGCTCAATTTGAAATTATTATTAAATGCTATTAGCAAATGTTTTTGACCCTCTCAAGTAAAATGTTTTTTTTCACTAGCAACACAATTTCATTATTATTTCTTATTGTCTTGAAATATGGTGTGTACTGTTGAATGTACTGACCAGCATTTATGGTAAACTAACATATACTGTCATTTCTATGAAAACTTGTATGCCGTATAATTAAATATACTTGTATTTACACATTTGTAATGATGATGTTGCAATTTAGTACATCTAATATATAATAAATGTAATATTGAATAGCACACTGCAGTTAAAATGATAATTAAGTACTTTACAATACATGCTTTATTATGTTAGTCAACACATCAAAATAAGTGTACTTCAAAGCATGACAAATGATTATTAAAACCATAATTTAAAATGTACTTGACATTATTAAAAAAGGTCGCTTTTTAAAAGTGTACTTAAGTGTGTTACTTAATCACTTAAGTGGAATTTTATTTCATTGATTTTACATGATCTATCTTGTATTTAAGATTGAAAGTATGCGTTCAATACAATTAAGCAAACTTATTTTTCACAAGGCTATAATTATGGGAAGTGCCATATACTTTGTGAATTGCTCTTTGTGACTTTGATCATTTGAGGTCTTAGCTTAAGAAATGTGCAAAACTCCACATTTTCAAAACCGACGTTATGTAGTTGGATGTAAGTTAATCTGTCCATACTTGGCTCAATGTACTGTAGAACAGTTTATGTTGAACTACTTGTCTTTGCCCACAGGGTGGTAAATGTGTTTTTGATAGCTGTGCCATTTTTTTAGATGTGGGAAATAATGAGCTGTTTATTTAATCTCTCTCTCTCTCTCTCTCTCTGGCTCTCGCTCCAGTCAAAGCTGTCTTCTTCTCTTGTTCCTGCTCCTCCGTTTCCTCAGTGTCTCTCCACTCCGGTTCAGAGACTGGAGCAGTACTGCCAGACACTGGAGGAACTGGGCGGTCTCAACCCCACCTCTGACTCCGCCCTCTCCATCCTAAAACACGCCCAGCGGCTTGGAGAGGATCTGCGAGCCAGTGATCTCATCACAGGGTGTCCGGTATGAACTCAAAGAACACATTCACTCACAGCAGAGTCTACAGTGTGTCTTTGTGAGGTCACATGACCACAGCACTGCTGCCACCTGGTGGTCAAAAAGAAAACAACAGATTGAGCTTTATGCTAATTAAAGGGTTAAGCACAACAGATCTCAACAACATGATACGTTTAACTATCATGAAATCAAATATGTTTTTTTAAAGTAAATTATACATGCAAAGTGTACACGTGTAACATTTTTCCAAACTGTTGGTCTGTAATTATTAAACTTTCTCTGTATGGACAAAAACAATTGAAACTATACTGTATTTTATTGCTAAATAAAACGATTTAAGCTCATTCAAGATATTAATCTAATAGTATATAAATAATCATATAATTATGCTGCTCCTGTAGCTTTAAATGGTAGCAGATTTGTGATTACCAACACATATACTGGCAAAAATATGCCTTGAATAAAAGTGCTTGCCAAATGCATAAATGCAAATGCACAAATAACTGTGTGTGATATCACTGTTTTAATAATGTGCAACACATACGCATATGTTAATGTCTCAACAAATGTGGTCTCATGATCCTTTAAAAACAGATTTTTCATTTAGCAGGCTGATTAAAGTGTGCTCATTACAGGTCCAGTTCTTGCTCACATGCACGGTGGTTTGAACCTACAATCAAGATCCAGAATTAACACTCGCCAAGCCCTGAATGCAAGCAAAAATGTGCCTTGATGAGTGAATGAAATGTTACTGGCCAGCTTGCTTTTTTATGTATATACATTGTATATTAGATGCTAAAATTCTTCTCTTTTCTCAGCAGTTCTGTTTGGTACCTCTAAAGTCACAGAAATGACATGCTTCACCTTTATCGAAACACCAGATCGTCCAATGGGACAACATTTGTATTTGATTCAAGATGTGATCGTATGTGATAGTAAAAAAAAATAAAAATAAAAATGAAATAACTGTAAAATTTCACCGTTCTTGATATTATTATATCATAACTATTAATTAACTGTATTAATTTGTATTAACTAAAATACTTAATTTTATACTTTAATAATGTAATTATAAAATTTACGTTTAAGCACAAGATGCACTTCAAACATCAAATCATGCTGGAGAAAATGAAAATAAAAGCCTTTTAATTTGTCCACAAAGTTTCCACCTCGTCTAAAATTATGTGTTTAATTGCATTCTGTGATGGAAATAATGGTGGTGAAAACTACATTTGATTTATTTATTTTTTTTTAATATGGCCAATTCCTTTGTCTTTGCTAAAGCTAGCATTTTATGTATCCAAAATGCAAACTTTTAATTAAGAATGTCATAGTTTTTGCATAATTTTACTTTTTTATATATTATTTTTATAAGCAACACAGCTGTAATTTTTTCATGCAAAAGTATATTGAAATGGATTGTTTATTCCACTCTTAGGGTGTTAAATGTTTTAAGGATTAAAACTCTGGTAAATCAATAAAATCTTAATTTATTAAATTAAATGGAGCAAAAGTTGTTATCTTACAGAACTTTAATATCGATGCATCCTTCATCAATATCATATTGAATCTCACAACAGAAAGTACAGTAGATGTTGACACAATGATATCGATGCATCCTTCATCAATATCATATTGAATCTCACAACAGAAAGTACAGTAGATGTTGTGTGTGTGTGTGTGTGTGTGTGTGTGTGTGTGTGTGTGTCAGATCCCCGTGGCGGAGCGTGGAGATCTGGTGCGTCAGGGTGAGCTGTGTGTTTGCGGTGGAGGCCGACGGAAGAAAACGGGAATCAGAAACATCTTCCTCTATCAGAACTATGTCATCTTCACCAAACACAAAACACCCAACCAGGGATGCAGTGTGTACAGCTTCAAACACAGCATCAAGGTACACACACACACACACACACACACACACACACACACACACACACACTCACACACAGGCTGTGTTCGGAGGGGAATACTAACGTACTGCACACTACTGTATACAGCCTGCTATTTATAAAAAAAATGACATTAGTATGCATTATGAGACAAAAACCTCAGAGGTGATGTGTTTATATTGCACTGGCTGACCTGTGAGATTAATATTCACTTGTAGTCTACTTCAAATTAAAGTAAAGGCCACATAAGACTTGAAGAGAGACACTTTCATGACGATGTTTCCTAATACACTTAAGTAGACTTCTAAAAATGGCACTTTGTAACAATGTTAAATTAAAAGTTTTACTTTAATGTGCATTTAAAATCATGTTTTAACAATCTTGTGTCATGCTTTAAAGAAACACACTTATTTTGATGTGTTGACTAACATACTAAAGCACATGTAAAGCACCTAATTATCATTTTAACTGTAGTGAGTTAAATACATCTTAAATACATCAATACAAATGTGTTAAATACATGGCATACAATATTCAATAGGAATGCCATTAAAGTATGTTTTAGTTTATCATAAATGCTTGTCAGTACATGCAGCAGCACTTTAAACATACTTCAAAGAAAATAGAATAATGAAATTACATATTAATATGCATTAAGTCCTATTTAAGTGGGTCAGTTAAGCTAACTGCATTTAATAGAAATTTAAACTATAATACATTTTCATTTAATTGCCATTGATTGCAAAAACATTACATTCAGTTCACACTTGAGTATATTATTTCTGACACTTAATGGCATCTCAATTTGATTATGTGGATTTGTATGCATTAATCTGCACATGGATATGTGGGAAACAGTATTGTGTTCAATGTAGTCGGTCGTCGGGGTGCACACTGACACACACTGTGAACATAGCATGAGTAGTATGTTAGTATGGTGTACACATCTGTTCTCGGAGCGTCTGACTGCCTGTGTTTCCTCAGACGGGTGAGATGGGTCTCACTCAGAGCGTGGGCGAGGATGGACTGAGGTTTGAGGTGTGGGTGAGACACGCGTCCCGCACCAGAGACTGTCTCACTCTCCAGGCCTCCAGCGTGCAGGAGAGACAAACCTGGAGCCACGACATCGCACAGCTGCTCTGGACTCACGCCATCCACAACACGGGTCAGGACCAACCTTTGACCTCACACCTTTACCACCCCTGTGACTTATTACTCTGTGCTTCTTTCTCGGTTGATTACTTTCTTTTGAGGCAGTATTTAATCAAATATAACTATATTTATCACTGACTTTTCACTCAATCCACTTGCGAAAAAGAATTACACTTCAGCATACTTTTTAAAAGAGGACTTATTATGAAAATAACATACTTTAAAAGTGCAAACTATGTAAAGTTTTCTGCCACTTCATTGCATGTTAATTGCATCAAAATTAATTATAGTTTACGTTTATTGTAAATGCCCTTAACTAAATTTTAAAACTTTCTTTGACCCAAATAAGTAGGACTTAAGTACATATTTATATGTGATTTTATAATTCTGTTTTCTTTCAGATATGTTTAAAATGTGTTGCTGGATGTACTGACGAGCATTTGTGATAAACTAAAATATATTTTAATGTCATTTCTATTGAAACTTGTTTGTATATTTGTAAGTGCGCATTCGAAAGGATAAAGTTACAATTATATTAACTTTAAATGGAATATTGAGTAATACAGTAGAATTAAAATAACAATCAAGTACTTTGCATGTGCTTTAGTATGTTAGTCAACACATCAGAATAAGTGTTCTTTAAAACACAACAAAATAGTATTAAAACATAATGATTTAAAATGTAAAGTAAAACTTTTAATTTGACATTATTACAAAGTGCACTTAAAAGTGTGTTAAGAAACAGTCGTGAAATTGTCTCTCTTTAAGTGACTTAACTGGCCTTTTATTTAAAGGGGTCATATGATGCTTTTTTAAAGATCATTATTTTGTGTATTTGGTGTAACAGAATATGTTGACATGCTTTAATGTTCAAAAAACACATTATTTTTCAAATACTGTACATTATTGTAGGTCCTCTATGCCCCGCCTCTCTCAAACGCTTCGTTTTCTACAAAGCCCCTCCTTCCGACAAGCGCAGTCTGCTCTGATTGGCCAGCTGACCCAGTGCACTGTGATTGGCCGAACACTGCAAGCACTCGTCAGAAATGTAACGCCCCTTACCATAATCGCCAGCTTCAGCTTTCAAAATAAATGTATAGACAGTAAATAATGTCATTAGTTTTACCATCAGTTCAAGCCTGAAAGAGGAACAGACACAGTAATGATGCAGTACACAACTGTGACAGACAGACAGACAGACAGACAGATAGACAGATAGATAGATAGGACGTGTGATGCATGCAGATTATGTCTAAGTACGCAGTGCACTAAGGTTTTTGACTTTTATTTATCTATTTTTCCATTTTTTCTCAACATCTTGAGCTTTAGAGTTTACTGTCAAAAATCCATTAATGAAATACTGCAAAGTTCTGCTTAATTAAGTAAGTGCCCGTCCTCCCTAATTAATGAGCTCTTAAATACATATACTTTGCCGTTATTGACCCAGTTATTTATGTCTAATTGAGACAACACTAAAAGGCAGTTTAATTAGACATCTTCTGTCTGTGTGTTTTCTGCAGGATCTTGTCTTGGGGGCAGTTTTAGGAAAAGACCAATTTGTGATTAACGATTAATTAATCATGGGAAATGAAACCGTGTCAGTCATTGAGGCATTGATTTGCCTTTGCACTTTTGTCTTTTCTTTATGCAAATTAGACTTTTAAATGACTCCCATTACTACCCATTTTATTCTGTTTTGTTAATTAAGCATCATGTTTAGTGGTGTTCCTATACTCAAAACACATAACATGACAAGTCTTCTATCTTAAAGAAAAATTGCCCAGTACTCTTTTCAAGCACATATGTTCACAAAAAGACATCTGCTTGGTCTAATAATGTTGTGTTGAATATGAAGATTGTCAGCATTTTGTTTGTTCGTGCTTATTATATTCTAGACCTGTTTGAACTTTAGCAGAACTGACTTCATACATTCACTAAAAAAAACACCAGCTGATCTAAACACACAGAGACTTCAGACATGAGGATGAACATTTGAAATGTGATTTAATTGTCCAGATATTATTGGGCCAGTGTAACTGAATGAAGTGTGTGTGTGTGTGTGTGTGTGTGTGTGTGTGTGTGCGTGTGTGTGTAGAGTTGTGTCTGAAGGAGTCTCTGTGTATGGGAGTTTCCAGTAAGCTGCTACTGGATGTGACGGGAGCTCAACTTTCAGACCTGGACTCCAGCTTCAGCCTGAATGACAGAGGTACACACACACACACACACTCTCACACACACACACACACACACACACACTCACACTCTTTCTCACACACACACACACACACACACACACACGTGCACACACACTCTATAACACACACACACACACACATGCGCACACACACACACACACACACACACACACGTGCACACACACTCTATAACACACACACACACACACATGCGCACACACACACACACACACACACACACACGTGCACACACACTCTATAACACACACACACACACACATGCGCACACACACACACACACACACACACACACTCTATAACACACACACGCGCGCACACACACACACACACACACACACTCTATAACACACACACACGCACACATGCGCATACACACACACACACACACACGCACGCACACACTCTATAACACACACACACACACACTCTCTTTCTACACACACTCACACACACACACACACACACACACACACAGACACACACACGCACACACTCTATAACACACACGCACACGCACAACCTCCTGTTCTTCTTCACTGCATGTAATACTCATTGTTATCCACCAGATGTCACTTTATCCATCATCACATGAGTGTTCAAGGGTTTTGAATTTAATTGGCTAAAAAATAGGCTTTTATATGTATATGAAATTTTAATGCACCCAAAAATAAGCCTATGTATACACATATACAGTGGGGAAAAAAAGTATTTAGTCAGCCACCAATTGTGCAAGTTCTCCCACTTAAAAAGATGAGAGAGGCCTGTAATTTT